CACTTCCTGTCAGCACCTCTGGTCACTTCCTGTCAGCACCTGTGCTCTGCCTCTGGTCACTTCCTGTCAGCACCTGTGTGTCCAATCAGACTTAAAGCTGTTTGTTTACACTTCCTGTCATTGTCTGCTCCTCTCTGGAACCTCTCTTGTGTTGTTTTTACTCTCTGATGTTCGTCTCTTTTGATAAAAGCGTCTGATAAGTGGTTTGTAGAAATGTAGAAAATGCATCGACGTACATTCAATTAATTGACAGAAGAATGTCCGACTCCACTACAGTAGGTGGCGATATTCCCCGTTTCAGCTAGTCACTATTGGACGTTCTTCCACTTCACCTCGCTAACAAGTTTTATGTGGTTACAAGTTTACAGCTCTGCACGTTTCTTGTACATACTGTACGCTTTACTTTTGGTACACGTGTTCTGCACGCTGTCCTTCTAGCTTAAGACGACAACATGTTTTCTGCTATGCTAAGCAGCTGCATAGTTCAACTTCTGGGTCAAAGCCCGGCACTTGAACTTGGAGCATGCTCAGCTCAATTTGGGCCCGATTGAGGTGCACAGTTTATCGACTCAAAACTGCTTTATCAAGGCGTGTTAGTCCAACTGTGTTGCCATTGAGTATTTGAATGCTTTTTAAAAGTGCAGTTTTAGTCCGACTAACCCAATAAAATCACTTTTTCTAACGGCATGAGTGAGATAAATGTGCAAACAGAATCTTTCAAACTGCTTTCAGAGAGGGGAGAAAATACGGCTGCACAACCTCTGATCATCACGTCACACAGCATGAAACAGTCAAGAATTGAATCTGAATCAAGCAGCCTTGTTTGGAGCCATCTGAGTCTTTTTACAATAACTGGTCACGCCATGTTTCTGTAACATGGACGTTAGCAGTCTCATACAACGTACATTAAATGGGGAAGCTGTTGGTTACATAACATTACGCCAACACTTCTAATAAATCGGCTCTAATAATCCTCTTCTTACCGTAATCAGTTTTACAGTCAGTGACGTTTTTACTGTAAGAGGTTTCCTCTCTGTTTCATAATCTCAGGAGTCTGAAGGGCGGCCTTGATTTATACCGGAGCAATTAATCCTTCAAAATAAAAGTTACAAGGTTTTCTCTGCAGGGCTGCAGCCTTTACCCAGCAAGTCTGATCATGACTTCACTGCATCGGCTCTCACTTCAAACAACTAGCACAGGGAGCATTACTGGGAGACACTGGTTGATAAATCATCGATTCACACTTTGATGTGATAGAGCATATGTTCACCGAACAGGACGGGAGAGGGAAAGACGCAGCACGCCATCAGATCCAACATGCAGGATGTTAATCTAAATCAGAATCATTAGTACTTTATTCATCCCTAGAGGGGATATTAAAGGTCCAATCAGTAAGATGTGTAGTGAGTGAGATGATAAAGTGACTTAACTATATGATCAGACCGAGCCGGCCCTAACCATTTTGGTGCCCTAGGCAAGATTTCAGCCGTTGCCCCTTAAATTATAGCCAGTTTGACCACCAAAGTCAATATTCATCCAATTCATCCACTTAAAGAAAACTGACATTCAGCTTTACATTTAACATAATTTCTTTATTTTAAAAATAAAAAATACTTCTAAACAAACATGAATATATTGGTAATAACTCTCATATTTATTATAAATAAACACAAAATAATATAAATACAAATAACTAGTGTAACAGAACAAACAATACCAAACAGTGCAGGGAGCAGAAGTGGTCACAGACGGCCCAGGGACAGCAGGGGATGGATTTAAATGTTTTATGATTGCATCTGGAGAGAGAAGATGAGCATTTGTGAAACAATCTGCATTTTATAATATAGTGTGAACACAAAATATTATTTTCTCTTCAGAGCAGTACAGAAACCTCAGCATAGTTTTTCAGGTGAGCCCAAATGTTTTCCTTACAACCAGACCTACAGCATGCACAAATATCTATTCAGAGAGGAACTCTAGCACAAAATGCATTCATGCTCTCAGACATCAATACTCTAAAGTCAAGAGCTTAAAACTATTAAAGACAACATTTTCTTAAAATGTATAATCTTTACCTTATGAAAGTACAGTGGAAATAACTGATGTTAACTCGAGCTATTGATTAGGAATTAGGAAACACTGACGTCATCTATCCATAACAAGCTAGCTTAACTACCACAGATAAATAATTGATCAGTGTCCTCTGTGTCTTTTTCATATTTTTCCTCCTCTTCTTCTGTTTTGTCCCTGAGCTCCCGAGGGCTTTGTTGTTGTTGTTTTTTTTTTACATCACGCTCATTTATAAACGTGATATTAATCGGTACACTCATTGTCACTCACTTCTAATAAGTCGCCTGCCCTCCTCCTCCACAACGAGCAGGTAACAAGCAGCTGTGTTGTGATGCGCTGCGTCAAGCAGGAGGCAAGAAAATATAAATATGTGATGGAGGCCTAGTTTTGTTTTCATGGCTTCTTTTGTATCATTACTAAACAATAGCACGGAAATTATATTAGATAAATAATATTTAGTGATATTTAACCGCATTTTTACTTCTATTTCTTCTTCTTATCTTCAACTTTTCAGCCTCACTCATTTGCCTATACTGCCTATGCCACGGGCCGGCCCTGTGATCAGACATTAAGAACACATGCTATGTTGAAGTGCTGGCTTCTCTGACAACAATGCAGCAGCCAGTATGTCCTTCGAACTTTAGGACGAGCCTAAACTCTGCCACATCCTGTCGTGTCCTGAGGATTGATGAAAACAAACTTCTTCTCTGCTCGTCTCCTCCTCGAAAGTAGCTATTTTCCAGACTATTGTTTTGGTCACATAGCAACATGCGTAGCTGCTTCTTGCTCGTGCACACAGCGTCCTATCTGAAAGGTCCTTTAGATATATAACAAATAAATATGTGCGGACTAGAGTCATCACCTTACCGAGTGATAGAGCAGCGCAGGGTTATTTGGAAAGACTTCATTAAATACTTCAAACAGGTGTAAACATTCACCTGCAGCAGAGAGGTGTAAAGATTCACAATAACATAGTTTAGAGCCATAAAGATCAAAGTCTCAGATCCTGATAATCATCTCTCTCTCTCTCTCTCTCTCTCTCTCTCTCTCTCTCTCTCTCTGCAGGGCATTCAAAATCAACGAGCTGAAGACCGAGGTCACGAACCGTCTCGCCATGTTGGAAAAGAGAGTCGAGCGTAAGTCTGTTCCCACCATAAAACGCCGCCGTCATGTGTACACACCACTTACAACACACACTCTCCTCAGCTGATCTGCTCACGGACAGGTGACTGATTTATGAGAGGAAAGATACCAAAAAAAATGTTTATTTACAGCAGATGTTATTGGACGATATGGATCCTAAAGAGTTTCTATTTCAGGGCTACTCTGTAGAAACGCTGGTTGTTTTGTTGTAGTGACGCTGTAGCTCTGTGAGTTCTAAACAAATCAGCTTGTTCAAATGCAGAAAAGTTTCCCGGATTTTGTGAAATGTCAGCGCAGGATTTAAATGTGGAAATGTACTCCTAGAACCAGAAGCTGCCGTAAAAAACTTCACTGTTGATCTTATCGAAAAGTACTGACACTTCAATCAGGCTTGATAGAAGGTCTTTGGTGCTTGGACTCCATGTGGGGGGGTTAATGTGTTTGGAGACTGACAATTCTGAGCATCAACAGATTAATTCCCCCCCATGGAGTCCAGACCCTGGTGGTGGTGAGGCTGATGACTTGTTGGGACCGGATGGGTGAAAAGTTGATGGATGATGATTCTGTGAAGACGGGCGGTGATGGGGAGGACGAGGGGCGCATGAGACATTGGCATGAAGGAACTAAAGGCAGAGAAAGAAACATATTTAAAAGAGGAGCAGAACGTTGACAGGCTGACAATGAGGGAGGAACGCCATGCCATTGGTTAGATGAGGCCAGCTGATTACCCAATCACAGCCCCAGAAAATGACACCTCGAGGATGACAGCTGAAATGTGAGCATGCGTGAGAGGGATGAACGAGAGATGGACCCGATCTTGAAGGCAAATATTTAGTCGTCTTGACTGAACTTGCTCCAGAGCTTCATTTCACTCACACTTCATAAGACAGTCAAGGGGTGTCAGTAGATGAGTGGTTGGTGTGCGTGCCCCGTGTACAGAGGCTGTAGTCCTGTAAGTGAGCAGCCCGGTTTACACTCTCCATGTCGTTGATATCCGACTCTATCCACTGTCCGGACAATATGCAACCCAACACTGACCCACCACTGGGTCATTTTTTTTCTTAATTAGTAAAAATTGCAGACAAACTCCTGCACGCTTTTTAAAAATATTGTATTATTAAAATATTATCGTTTTTGTACAGACAGTGTTCAGGAGTTCGTCTGCAAGTTTTGGTAACTGGGTCAAAAACAAAAATGACCCAGTGCTGGGCACCGAGGACTTCTGGTATCAATATAGATTGATTTTAATGAGCGTTATCTTGAAGTTTATAATCCTGGTTTAGTGACAGCTCTAGTTTACAGAAGACATCCCTGCACGCTTTCGCTGCATGTTGTCTGAACTTCCCCCACACAGTTTAAGATGCCGCGATTTGATTAGTCTCAGCAGAGCAGGTAACGTGATCTGCTTACACTCCTTGCAGAGGCTGTTGACCTCGTGTTTTTAGTTTACTGAACATTGACCACATCTTAACCCGTTAACAGTGAATTTATTACCGTCCCCACACTTATATGATGGACCGCCCCTGGGGTCTCACACCTCCTCAGCTGTCCATTATCACTTTCTCCTTCGGTTTTGTTGTTTTATGAACTGTGAGGAGGAAGTTTGTTCCTCTGAGCCTGCTGACCTGCTCGCTCTCTCTCTCTCTCTCTCTCTCTCTCTCATGCAGGCAGAGTTTACATAGTTCGTACCTGCTGGCATTTTGGCACCTGGTACCAATTCCCTCAAGATAACAGTTATAAAATGCATTCAATAAAAGGTGACGGGGCGCTCTGCACTGTTCTGCCGTCATCTTTATTTTATTATTATATAGGTCTCGGTGTTCTCGGCTGCTTTTGGAACATTTAATCAGTGGTGGTTTTGTAATCATTACATCCATTACCTTCCTCCTGAGGCTGAGATTAAAGATTTAAAGGTCAAATTAAATATGTGAGTTTAACATCAAGTCTGCAGACTAAACAAATCTGCAGCTCGATTGCATGATTGGTGGAGTTTTCCATCTGTGCGCTGCAGAAGCGCCTCACGAGAGTGAACCACAGATCGGTCTGTTGTCTGGTTTAATGTGCAGCTTGAGATCCATCTTTGATTTGTTTGCATTTAAAGCATGATTAAGGGTGAGAGGCGGGGCTATACCCTTGACTGTTCACCTGTCAATCACAGGGCTGACATATAGAGACAAACAACCAGCCACACTCACATTCACACCTACAGATAATTTAGAGTCACCAGTTAACCTAACGAGCATGTCTTTGCACTACTCAGGTCAGCTACACGTCTTATTGTGAATAACTCTTATCCTTCATCAAATCAAAACTCATCAAAACATTCCCCCCCCGTACAGTGTGTGCCAATCGAGACATGAGCTAATCACACCTATTTTTTTTTTGAACCAGGCTGTAAACATGTTAATCTCTGCTGTAAAAACAGGCTTTTTAGAATGGGTGTGTATGTGACTTCCTGTGCTTCTACAGCAAGCCTCTGGTGGACACTCGAAGAACTGCAGGTTATACACCTCAGCATCCTATTACCTTGCAAAAATCGTGTTAGAACAGTAACTAAAACACATTTATGGAGCTATAGATTTCGATAATTCTTAATAGACTTGATGTCCACGTTGAAATTAATCAAAATTAAAAGAATGATTAACGGATGAATGGATTAACAGACGTGTACACAGCTCTGAAAGAAGCCTTCCAAAGATGTCATAATCATATCTTTAAGGCGAAAATCCTCCGCAGAGTGTCGAGGATCGTGACGTGATGTAACACCGCTGTGTGAGAAGCACCCACGCAAACGCATGTATGTGTCGGTGTTTCTACATGTGTGTGGGCTGAGTTTCATGCATCATCTGTCCCCCCCCCCCCCCGACTCAATCTCCCATCATGCATTCACACACACACACCAGATTGCATGTCGTCACACACACCTTAGCGTGTCACAGAGAATCTGTTTTCTCCTTCTGACTATGAACATGCGTGTGTGTGCGTGCGTGTGCGTGCGTGTGCGTGTGCACGCGCGCGTGTGTGTGTGTATGTGTGAACACGTGATGCAGCTGAAATTTCATAATGACCCTCTCAGTCGCCAAGACAACATGACCTGAGTCTGCTTCTGTCACCATGGTGATTTCCCCAACTCCACTCAAGCAGCTTTCTGTGGAATCAAAGTGTGAGAGATTCCACAGGTGTGTGCTCAGTGCTGAAATGTCGACATGTTTGTTTTATTTAAGGAGAATGTTTGCGCAGGAAAATCTGATTTCATTCGTCATGTCTTGTCTCAGGAGTGTGTAATGTTCTCAAACCAGAGGAGCCTTTGAGACACCAGCCGGAGAGAGCCACAGTCCAAAATACTGCTTCAGCGATTGTGTTTGCTGTTTTCTAAATCAAGGTGTGTTTGTTCTTAAGAGGAGGAGACCTTGAAAAGAAAAAAACCTGAGATGCAGAGGGGCTGTTTGAGACTTCATCTGGAAGGTTTACAGCTAAAAGACGAAGAGCACGATCTATAAATACAAAATGATAATCCAAAAACACATTTTCCACAGATGCTCTGAATTTAGGACATGAGAATTTTTATTCTGCATTCAGACTAAACTGTAGCTGCCCGGTTTAAAAACACGCTGCTGATGTGGTTAAGAACCACAGGAAGATGAGAAGGTCCCTGCAGAACCAACGGCATCATAGATTAAAACTGATACTTCTCGGTGCCCACTCTCCCTGCAGGCCGAACTCCTGTAGTAGTTTCACATCTGACGCAGAGCCACTTCACACGAGCATGCCGATCGCCTCGATACCTGGTTGCCACAGCAACAGCGTGGCGCCCACACAGATCCTCCATCCTCTCATCACCGCGGTCGCCATGGTCACCTATTCCAATGGGAGCTGGAGTGTTGTCGGAGGCAGCCTTTTCTGTTGAAGTAGGAGGAGGTGGAGTGATGAGAGAGAGCGAGCGAGGAGGCAGACAGAGGAGGACACGGAGAGACACCAGAGAGTTCAATCAACCGACTCTCAGACGTCCTCCAAACACCCCCCTGATGCTCCTCTCAGTCGCACGTTCATATTAAAGTCAACTTCACGAGGCACTCGGAGAGTTTTCTGCACAAAGTTTTTATCCTGTCACGACTGCTGGAACATCCATCCGGTAATCCAACGGCGACTGGACTCGTTCGAAGACCTTGAAGACGTTTCACCTCTCCTCCTCCGACAGGCTTCGTCTTCAGTTCTAAACTAACCTGTGGGAGCTTGAAGTGCCCAGCATGGCACGCTCGTAGCCTAAGCAAAACATGACACCTTTAGAGACAGCGCCTTATCAAAGAGCGACCACAAGAAGTTCTTGTTTTTGCTCAGATAATGTCTGACAACATTACAGAAAGGCCTTTATGTTAAAGAGAGAGAGGATGTTTTGACATCTGAAACATCCTTTACAATACTCTCTTTAATATCGAGTGGTTAGTGTGCATGCCCCATGTACAGTAGTCCTCTAAGCGGGCGGCCCAGGTTCGAATCCAACCTGTGCTCCTTTCCTGTATGTCATTCCACACTCTCTCTCTCTCTCTCTCTCTCTTTCTGATTTCCAGCTCAATCAGCTGTCCTCTCTTAAATAAAGTCCAGAAACAAATCTTTAAAAAGTAAAGCCCCCAAACTCCGTTGATGAAAGAAGTCATGTTTCCTTGTAGAAGATGGGGCTTGCTGGTCTACCTTGGATCAGTTATATTCCTTGTGCTCTCGTGTGTTACACTTGTCCTTGTCTTTGGATCCGATCCCACCATGGAAAGGCTCAGTCCACAATATCACAAACTAACTGAATGACGGAGGCAACAATAGAGCAGCTACTCGTGTTCCTCAACATGGAATTTCTGTTTTTGTCAAAGGAGAGAGAGGTAAAGACTGCTTCTGGTTTAAAATAATCCTCTTCCTGGGGGGGAGGATTATTCCTGTCATTGTGTCAGACAGAGAATAACAACCTGAGCCTGTCAGCGACAACAACAACAACTTGTAGTGGACACACACTGAACAGACGCTGTAGCCTGCAGAGGGGCATTTGAGGACCAGTCACACTCCTGCAGGTTGTATAAGAGGATAGGAACTAACGACGATGTTGCTGCTGCATGGGCTGAAAGAGTCAGTGGTATCCTTAAATTGTGGTTGCATTTACAGATTTGCACATCATCAAAGATCTGACTGCTGGGTCATGACTGATCTGTTCACTCACAGTCCATGTGTAGTTTTTATGCTTTCAGTTCTTTCTCTGTTGTTGTGCGAGTGCAGGGTTAGTGTTTGATTGGTTTAATGAAACAAGATACCAACATTGGACAGAGCTGTGAAAGCTGAGACCTGACACAGTTTGCTCAAACATCCGAGGGCGCCGAGAGGCCAATAAAGCAAATCAAATGATTGAACCGCCTGCTGATTGAACTTGATGACCCGCAGACGCACAGGGAGACTTCATATGTTTGCAGCTACACAAAGTATCAAAGGGTTAATCGTTTTAAATTCATGTTCAGGACATGTGGGTTTAATAAATGTGTCTGTGTCTTTCTGCAGTGGAGGGGATGAAGGTGGTGGAGATCGAGAAATGTCGCAACGACATCAGAAACCTGCGGGAGGAGATGGCGTCCAGAAACAACAGGTGAGAGACTCATCTCTGCTCCATGACGGCCGAGTCTCTGTGGTGTGTTTATCAGTGAGACGTAATGAGCGCAGAGGAGAGTCTGCACCTCCTGTTGTTCATTAACACAGTAATGGAGTCCCAGGGGGCAGCTCGACCTCATTAACGCTTTACCTGCAGGTTGGGATCAAATCGAATCTGTAAACGTGCCATTAAGCTTCCTGCACATGCAAACCTTAGCATTGATATGAGTTATAGAGAAACTATTGTTTGTTTTTTTTAGTAACTTCCTGGAAGACAACAAGAAGCTGACTCCTCGCAGAGACGTTCCCTCCTACCCAAAGGTAAGTCTGCACACTCACACTCACACACATTGTTCACTTCTGTGTGGTAGTGTGAAACAGGTGAGTCTGCTGGTGTCAGGCAGATATCATCTCTACCTTTACTGTGTTTCCAGGAAGAGCATGCAACAAATGTTCTAAAGCACATGCTGCCTTATTTACCTTTAGCCGAAAGTGTGACGATTTATATGTTATAAAGATGTGACAGGTGTGACGTGTGTATGGTTATTTTTATAGATCAGGTTCGCTCTGTGCCTGCTCCATAGACTAAGGAAGAAGTGGATGTAGCCTCTGCAGGAATGCCCTTAAACCTGTAAAGTCCTTTATTGTCCAGCAGGGGGCGAACCCACTGGTTGTAAGAGAAATTCAGTTTTATCAAAGTCTGTTCTAAAATGTTCCTTCTTCACAGTAAACATATTCCTTGTGACTTTATGGTCTCAATCTCTAGTTTCTGGTCTACTCTAAGACAGCATGAAGTTCATTTAGTAAATAATGTTTCGTTTAGAGTCTAATAGTGCGTTCACAGGGGCAGTCCTCCAGAAATTATCTAGATATTTTCAGGAGTGCAGATGTGAAAACGGCTATAAAAAAAAACAGAAAGGAGGGGAGGATTTAAGGTGGGGCTTCTCATGATTGACATGTGGAGCGTGGAGACCAAAACCTAAATTGTATGTAGTGTTTGGTTGTCTTTAAAACACGCTATTCAAAAGTACACTCAGTTTACTGCACATTGCACAAGTTTACAGAACTCTGGATTAATAACTCTGAAGCTAACTATTCAAAAGTACACTTAGTTTACTGCACATTGCACATATTGCACAAGTTTACTTTTTCTTTCAATTTTATTTTATTTACCATTTTGTACCTTTTGCACAATTTAGAATTTATTAATGTAAATATTATTTATCTTATTTTTACCTCATTTTATTTGATCTATTTTACCTTATCTTATTTTACCTTATGTTGGTTGTATTGCACCGCGGGACGGAGGCAAACGCAATTTTGATTCCACTGTATGTCTGGCATGTTTTGAAATTGACAATAAAGTTGACTTTGACTTTTGACTTTGACGCTGAGATGTAAGATTCCTGCAGCTTTAGTGTTTGTTAACCCTTCGATCGCCTCTCCAGCCTCTTCTCTAAATTCGGTCATGTTTCGCTTCGCTAATGATTCTCCACAAAACGGTCGATGACGTCAAAGCGACTACTTCCTGTTCTTGTATAAAGTTTAGAATCTGTTCCAAGAAATCAGTCAATGCAGTGCAGTAGGTCACTATGAGTTAATCATCATCTCATCCAACGCCACGACACACTCAAAGTTTGCTGGCAGGGACGAGGTCACAGCCTGCACAATCTACGTCTGTGTTACATTTAGAATGCAGATGTTGTTCAAGACTTCAGGAATACAAAGTAAACAAGTGATGAAGTTGATTTTATTCAGCTTAGCCGTAGGTGTGTGTGTGTGTGTGTGTTAGTGTGTAGAGATGTGTGGCCCTGGTGCAGGCTTGTGCAGACAGGGTTAATGCGAGCTCTGTCGCTTGCAGTACATGCTGTCAGTGCAGACCATAGACGCTCTCAAAAAACCTGCCTTTGACGTCTGGCTGTGGGAGGCCAACGAGGTAAGACGGACCATCCTGCTTAACCCGTCTCACCCACACTCCCCCTCTCTCCTCCCCTGTCTCCCTCTCCCTGCTTGTGTGTGTTTTTGGGTGTGTGTGTGTGTGTGTGTGTGTGTGTGTGTAGTACCACCTCTCTAAGGAGACAGTAGAAGCTCTTAGATTGCCCACATTCGATGCTTGGCAGTGGGAGCCCAACGAGGTGAGATTAACATCCTGATTAATCCACTCATTCCTCCATCAAGGTCACGACTGTCAGATACTAAACTTTAAATTCTTTAAATGTTGTTTTTTTTATTTCTTCACAGTCGTTCAATAGTGTGTCATTGAAGTAAACGTCTTATCTTAATAACCCTGAACTGACTGGACCAAAGAGCTGCTACACTAAGAACATTTGTTAGGCTTTATTTTGAAATGTTGTACTGCCTTAAGCTGAGCGTACTTTACTTGCTGTGTGCTTTTATTTTGAAGTAAAGTAAGGCCCTTCTGGCAGCTGGAAGGTTAGGACATGAACTTAGCCCACTCATCAGGAGAAATCTGATAAGTGTGCATCTCACAGGAAAAACATGACACGTATATCAGCTGATACAAAAAGTGTGGCAAGGCTCAAGTCATAAAAAAAAGATAAATGGTCAAATACGACGAAAAGAAAACTGTGTCTAGTAGAGCTATGATAAAATGCAGGCGCATCATTTATTGGTTCCTCTGTTGTGAAAGATGCTGAGCTGTCTGGAGCACATGTACCATGACCTCGGCCTGGTCAAAGACTTCAACATCAACCCCATCACGCTCAAGAGATGGCTGGTGAGACGTGAATCTCCTGCATGATCATTTTATTTCATTAAGTTATTGAACACACGCACACACACACACACACACAGGTCTGAAACCTCCTGGTTTTCTTCCTCTCTCTGCAGCTTTGTATCCACGACAACTACAAGAACAACCCCTTCCACAACTTCCGCCATTGTTTCTGTGTCACTCAGATGATGTACAGCATGATCTGCCTCTGCAGCCTGCAGGTAAACAGACACTCCTGCTGCAGGACTGAACTCACTAAGGACCTGAATGAAGATTTAAAGGTCACATATCCTCCTCCTCCGTAAATAAGTCTCATAGCTCCCCAAAACCTGTCTGTGAAGTTTCTAGTTCTAAATCCACTCTGATCCTGTATTTGATCATGCCTATAAACCCCTCTATTTCAGACCTGCTCAGAACAGGCTGTTTCTGTGTCTGTACCTTTAAATGTCATGTGTCTGACCACGCCCCCTCTCTGGAAGGGCTTAGGTGTCTCTGGCTTTCTCGCTCCATGTCCTATTGTTTACGTTAAGAAGGCAGACTCAGAGGGCAGAACAAACACCTAGCTGTGGTGGTGATATTACTTAATTAAAAGCTAAATTCTAAAGATCTCTAAAGGTCTTTAATATGTTTGTTTTTTTAAAGTGTAGTCTTGACTACAACACTTTTTAAACGGCCTGTTATAAAAGGATGTCAGAGCATTTCAGAGTCCGTCTGGGTTAAAACACTCTCACGCTGATCTGAAAAACGATCCGTGACGTAAACCTGCGACACGACGACGCGATGGAAACATGAGATCTGTGATCTGTTGCCGCCTCCTTTGACTCCTTTGTGTGTCTGCATCTCTCGCCCTCTTTCATTAACTTCCTGTTCCTGTTCTTCTACAGCCTCCTCATTCACTCAGTGAACTCTGCATTAAAGCCGCTCTGTAATCACAGTTATTATGATCAGTGTAATGAAGTGAAACGTGAAAAGTGAAACACTCACTGCTGTCATCAGAGGAGGGGGATGTGGGGGGATTAGGAGAGCTCAGGGGGGATGAGGACCGAGAGGGTGAGGAGGAGGACGGGGGCGTGATGAAGGAAGAGAGGAGCGTCAGAGTCTCCCTCTGTGTTTGTTCGAGACGACTATTCACCGGAGGTTTCATTATCTCAGACCTAATGACTGATTACAAAGGATCTGCTGCAGCAGTGTGTGCTAACGAGGACACACACACACACACACACACACACACACACACACACACACACACACACACACACACAGACTTAATTGCTGCATGAATTAATTAAACAATAATCTGAACGTGTGTGTTTGTGTGTTTACTTTTAGGAGAAGTTCACTCAGGTCGACGTTTTGATTCTGATGACGGCGGCTGTGTGTCACGACCTCGACCACCCCGGTTACAACAACACGTAAGACACGCGCACACACCTCTTCACACCTTCCCTCCCTCCTTAGTCCCAGCCTTTTTTATCCCTCTGTCTTTTGATTAAATCTCAACACATCCGCCCTCTCGTCTCTCTGATCCCTCGCTCCTTTCCCTTTGTGTCTTCCTCCTCCTCCTCCTCCTCCCCCCCCCCCTCATTTTGTCCTCTCCTCTCCTCCAGATACCAGATAAATGCCAGAACGGATCTGGCGGTTCGTTACAATGATATCTCTCCCCTGGAGAACCATCACTGTGCTGTCGCCTTTCAGATCTTCTCTCAGCCCGACTGCAACATCTTCTCCAGCTTTGACCCCGAGGCCTTCAAACAGATACGACAGGTAAGACTCCCTCAATCCATTATCTGTCTCTTATCCTGGGTCAGATCGCGGTGGCAGCAGGCTAAGCAAGTTGTCCCAGCCGTCCCTCTCCCCCCAGGAACGTTTTCCAGGCGTTCCCAGGCCAGACAGGATTTATAAAATCTACCCCGCAGTCTCCTCCCGGTTGGCTGGCCAGGAAAGCCAGATCAGTGTTTCTGCATGTCTGAGTGTCTGTTGCTGCATTTTCTCACCCGGTGCTGTTTCTGACAGGGAACCATCACTCTGATCCTGGCCACGGACATGGCTCGACACGGGGAGATCCTGGACTCCTTCAAACAGAAGGTGGACAGTTTCGACTACACGGACGAGGAGCACGTCACCTGTGTAAGAATTTCATTTCCTTTACAGTTTCATTTTCAGGGGCGTCAGATTTCAGAGGTCGTAGATCAGAGCGAGACGTTTTTAAAGTGGAGCAGAAGAGCTGCAAATCAGCATTCAAATAGTGCTGACCAGGCATGCTTACAGAGGAAACAATCAATCTTGAAGCTATGATTCTGTTTTGATACTTCACGTTCAATTTTCTTCTGAACTTTTCTAGAAGTAAATGTGACATTAAACATATTTTTAGGCAGTGAAGAAGCATTGACTCTCTTCTCTGTATGCTCCATGTTGTCTCTTTTTCTGCTGGTATTTCATCCCCCTGACCGTCTCACCGTGCTCTCCGTGCAGCTGAAGATGGTGCTCATCAAATGCTGCGACATCTCCAACGAGGTGCGGCCGATGGAGGTGGCTGAGCCGTGGGTGGACTGTCTGCTGGAGGAGTACTTTATGCAGGTGAGAGCAACACAAAAAACGTTTCTGCAAGTCTCTGATGTTTTTATTTTTATTGATTGAATTAGAACCTCGAGTGTAACCTGGTTCCTTTTTGTGGCTTTGTCTCCTCTGTGTGTATCCGTGCTGCTCAGAGCGACCGGGAGAAGGCTGAGGGACTCCCCGTGGCTCCGTTCATGGACAGAGAAAAGGTCACCAAGCCGACGGCTCAGATCGGCTTCATCAAGTTCGTCCTCATCCCCATGTTTGAAACCGTGATGAAGGTGAGCGTGCAGGAACGTGATGAGGAAGTAAAAGGAATTACAAAATGGTTGGCAGGGTAACTGTCCTTTGAGTAAAGTTTAAAAATCTCTTGGATATTATTCCGACTTATCAAATTTAGAGTGAGTGAACTCTGATGACATGGTTAGAACTCTAAAAACTACATTTCCCATGAGCTCTCTCTGCCATTGCTTTAGAAAACCAGGGAAATCCAGAACTCTCCTAATCGCTGCGACTAGAAACAAGGAACATTTCTGAATGTATCAAACACTTTTCCACTTACAAAAACCACACCAAGAAATGTTATGATTTAGAAAAGTTTATTTTGATATGCGCAGCTGAGATCGACATGATGAATGAGGTTTGCATGACGGGAAGATTTATGATGGTTGATAGATGAAGGTCGAGGAGTCAAGGGATGAAGGTAAGAATCAAAGAGTGAAGGGATGAAGGTAAGAGTCAAAGAGTGAAGGGATGAAGGAAAGGGTTGAGAGAGGAAGGTATTGGTAGAGGAGTGAAGGGATGAAGGTAAGGGTCAAGGAGTGAAGGGATGAAGGAAAGGGTCAAGGAGTGAAGGGATGAAGGAAAGGGTCAAGGACTGAAGGGATGAAGGAAAGGATCAAGGAGTGAAGGGATGAAGGAAAGGGTCAAGGACTGAAGGGATGAAGGAAAGGATCAAGGAGTGAAGGGATGAAGGAAAGGGTCAAGGAGTGAAGGGATGAAGGAAAGGGTCAAGGAGTGAAGGGATGAAGGAAAGGGTCGAGGGAGGAAGGTAAGGGTCGAGGAGTGTAGGGATGAAGGTAAGGGTCAAGGAGTGAAGGGATGAAGGAAAGGGTCAAGGAGTGAAGGGATGAAGGAAAGGGTCGAGGGAGGAAGGTAAGGGTCGAGGAGTGTAGGGATGAAGGTAAGGGTCAAGGAGTGAAGGGATGAAGGAAAGGGTCAAGGAGTGAAGGGATGAAGGAAAGGGTCAAGGAGTGAAGGTATGAAGGAAAGGGTCAAGGAGTGAAGGGATGAAGGTAAGGGTCAAGGAGTGAAGGTATGAAGGAAAGGGTCAAGGAGTGAAGGGATGAAGGAAAGGGTCGAGGGAGGAAGGTAAGGGTCGAGGAGTGTAGGGATGAAGGTAAGGGTCAAGGAGTGAAGGGATGAAGGTAAGGGTCAAGGAGTGAAGGGATGAAGGTAAGGGTCGAAGGTAAGGGTCAAGGAGTGAAGGGATGAAGGTAAGGGTTGAGGGATTCAAACCATTGAAAGGTTGGCTAAAAGTAAACAATAAACACCGGACATAATTCATAAATTTGTACTTTGGGAGCAGCGAACGTGAATGAAGAAATCATTTCTGGTACAGTGAACACTTTTAGGACCTCAGGTGACCTTTACAAGAAACCCCCCTGCTGCTGAGACGGTTACCTTCATATAAACAGTCAGGAGTAATGTTTGTGTGTTTGTGTGTATCAGCTGTTCCCACAGATCGAGGAGGCGATGGTGCAGCCGCTCAGAGAGTCCAGAGACCGATACGAGGAGCTCAAACAGATCGATGACGCCATGAATGAGGTCAGAGGATTTCTACACTGATGTTTATGTGGATTTATTTCACTTGTTCAAACTGTGACCGATAACGTTCCTCTCCTCAGGTGCAGAAGAAGAAAAGCGAGAGCCTGACCATCGGAGGGAAGAAGAAGTAAAACGTTTTGAAAAGGTGAGAAGGAGCAGAACTTTGAGATTTTATTTCACACGACATGTCCTCTAAATCTGACAAATGTTTCTGTTTCTGCAGCGTAGAGCACGAGTGCAGCAGTGTGACGTGAAGTGAACTTGCCGGACATGTTGGTCCGGGTCGGCCTGTCCTCTGATGAAGAGCAGAGGAGCAGCAGGAGTCTGATCTGTGTGTGAGAGTGTGTGTGTGTGTGTTGCAGCAGATCTGAGACAGCGAGTGTGTGTTGCAGCAGATCTGAGACAGCGTTACAAACCGTGGATGGACCTGAGGAGCAGACGGACGACCCAAAGCCTTTTTCAGGAAGTGTCAACATTTGTACAGCACAGAAACTTCAGTGAACAATATTTAGATACACGACTTGCATTGTTTGTTTTTTATTTGAGATGTGTTGTTTTTTACAGATTGTACAGATTTATAGTGATCTTTGTTCTTTCCTACAAAAAATAAAAGGATGACTTTAATTATAAGAAATGTCTCTGCTCGTCTGCTCAGACTTCGTGTCAGCCTCTTCGGGGGGGGTTTAAACTTTTCTACACAGAACATCAGGTTTAAGCTTTGGATGGCCAATTGTCACATTTCCACATTAAATTGATCATTGTGTTTTTAGATTAATCTATCCATCCATCCATCCATTTTCTTCCTCTTATCCGAAGTCATCTGAGCTCCTCCCCCTCTCTCTAAGGCTGAGCACAGCCTACCTCCATATATGTTGAAGTTTCTTTTTTAACTTGCAGACAAATGTCATCCTACTCGATCTTAATCCTGCCGCCATGTTTCGATATGTGGCCAATTAAATCTTTGTTTAAGGATATTTTATTTTGAGGCGGTAATGAACAGATTCCTCATGACAAACTATTCTCTTTAGTCTTTATGTTGAGGTGGTTTTTAAGAAATGAAATCTGCACACTTTAAAGTCGAAAACATCAAATTGACTGCAGCTCTACGACATCACAATCCAAATGTTGTCCTAAAATGTAATGCTCTGCACCGCCTCGTTGTTTTCCAGTCCTGTCGATGATTAGAAGGCTTGACGGCTTTGTTGAACTTTGAGGCTCCTCATCGGCCTTCCTCCAAAGCAGCTTCTCTCACTTTGTTCTGTCCGCATGATGTTCATATTTCCGTTTTAATACGACTCAAACGCTCTCCTCTAATACAGAGCCGCTGAATTTATTCTCTGCACGGCGTCAAAAATGTGTTGTGCTGTTCATGAGGTCATGTGCAGAAACAGAACCACGGCGGTGATGGAGGAAACAGAAGGCACAGCTTTTGGTTTTATTAATAAAAATAATCAGAAATTAGAGCCAAACATAAAAACTCATAAACACAGACCCTCTTTTCATTGGTCCGTTCATGAAGACTGCGTCACAGCCTCCGTCGTCTCCTTCTCCCTCTTCTTCTTCTTCTTGTTCCCGTTGGTGTTCTGAGCTGCCGTCCTCTTCAGCTGCTGCTCCTTCAGCCTCTGCTGCTTCTTCTGCTGGTACGCCGTCACGTTGTCGAAGGTCACCTTGTACAGGTTCTCGTACCGGCTGCTGGACTTCATGGCGGCTGAGGAGAGAGAGAGAGAGAGAGAGAGAGAGGATGAAGACGGGAAACACAGCTACACTCAAATCATCTTTGTCCACATGAAAACAGTGAACGCACTGACATGGCTGTCATGAGCACGCCAAGTCAACAACGATGCGAAATGTTCTCGCCATTCCTCTGCAACGACCATTTCACTTTACAAAGTCGTCCAATCAGGCGTCTCTGCTCGTCAACATAGTGGGAGAGTAACTGTATGTGTGAGTGAGCATGTAAAAAGTCCAGTTAGCATCGTTAGCACCAGCGCTAGTTTGGTTACGTCTGCCATCGCACTAATCTCATGAAAACTAAAGTTTGACGATGACATCACACGGAGGAGAAACCGGCGCACAGCGTTTGAAGAATTAAACTCTGTTCTCCCTGTTGGTTGGATTTTGTGTATAGTTGGGATTTTAAAGCATAGTGGGGTTCCGCTAAATGTTTCAGTCACACACAATAAAAGTAAATCATTGGAGGCGGAGTCAGAGCAGAAACTTTCAGTCTGGAGTCTGCTGGCGTCAAATGAAGAAGTAGACTCTTTTAGAGCTCACACAGATGTAACAGATCATCAAGAACTGACTCAAAGTCCTGGATTTTAACCCCGCATAAGCAGCGCAAGATGTTGGGGGAGGCGGAGTGCGAGCTTGTGTGACACTGCAGGTTTATTTCTGTCCGGTGGGGGGCGAGTGGGAAGAGGATGTGAGAGGGAGGACAGCGAGGATGCACTGCCGAGAGGCCGTAAGGTCAGGTGGACGAGTGTGTGACTCACCATGAAGGGTCTCCCTGTGAGGCTGCAGGGCTGCGGTTGCTCGGTGCAGCTCGGCGCTCTCCGCAGCACTCTGTGACAAACAGGAGGGCGCACGTTTAGCACAAAACACCACAGATAGACACGGCGGCAAAAGTAACACACATGAAGTTGTCTCCAGCGGAACGCATTCAGCTTCTTTATAACACTGGGAAACCAGAGCGCCACCTGCCAAGGGGGCTGTGTTTACACCAGAGACGTGATTAACTGTAAACAGAGAGATGCATGATGACATCATTAGAATCATAGTGACAATGTGTGTGTGTGTGTGTGTGTGTGTGAGGCAGCAGTGTGTGTGTGTGTGTGTGTGTGTGTGTGTGTGTGTGTGTGTGTGTGTGTGTGTGTGTGTGTGTGTGTGTGTGTGTGTGTGTGTGTGTGTGTGTGTGTGTGTGTGTGGATGAGTCACGTCCTTGTTTGGATGTGTGGAGCGCTCACGGACAGAAACATCAGCGAGTAGTTTCCTCTTCACACTCCTCGTCCTCCCACACGCTGAATGTAAATAATGATGTGTGAATATCAGAGGGCGGACAGCATGAGGTGAGATAATGGAGTTTAAAAACCCCGAGGGCAATTTGTCTCGGGACACCTACAGAGCGTGCTTTAAAAGAAGAACACAGAGGAGCATGGTGACCAGAAGGAGTTCTTAGAGGTGACTTCAGCTGATTTAGAAAACCTGGGTAAAGTTTGTTTGAATTATATAGATTTTAAATGACGACTCAACATCTAGAATTCCTCCAGCAGGGGGCGCCAATGGCCCAGTAGATGAGTTGCACCTTGTACAGAGGCAACGCTCTCTCGTCCTGATTTCCAAGGGTGCTTCTCGTTTCTCTCTAATTTTTTTTCTGTTTCCTCACTTGAACAGGAAGTCGTTCCATGTTGAATGAAGTCCCAAGTGTCTTATTTCAGCACCGAGGAGCGAGGTTTGAGGTTTGAGGAAAATCCTCTGAGGAGCTATGAAACAGCCCGACTCTATGTGCTGTCCTATCAAAATAAAAGCATAAAAATGGATTGTTGTGAACGAGGCTTTAAAAGGCTGCAGAGTAATCAATGAGGACTGTACCTCCCAGCAGTCCTGTGTCCGTGTGTAGATCTGGAGCGGTGTTTCTCTGGAGTCCATCAGCACCCACAGTCGACCCTCAGGGTCAAAGGTCATGTCTGTGGAACAGTGAGGCAGAGGGAGCCTGCTGTGAGGGACGATTTTCTGCTCGGAGTCTTTTTTCAGAGAGAAGAACTGAAGCGTGGAAACTCTGAGAACAAAAAACAGGAGATCAGATCATCAGAGGGAGTCATGGCTCTGACCTACATGTGCAGTGAAAGACAGTATCCAGGAGCCTCACAGGGACATTGTGCTTCCATTGTGGACATTGTATGTCCCAAAAATAGATTAAACTATAGGAAGTAAATATAGCTCAAAGGCAGCTGACATGTCAGAGTTTAAAACAGACTCCTGAGAGGGAGTCGTGTACACACATCCTGCACGACGACAGTTTGGAAAACTTTTCTAAAGACAAGCGATGAGAAGAACTGAAAATGAGAGCAGGCGAGAGATCAACGTTTTCACTCATTAAAATCATGGAGGTGGAGCTTGCTGGTATTTTAATGTGTAGGTCATTTTTTCATTTTGAGCCTTTCTGAGAGGTCCAATCAGTGAGATGTGTAGTGAGTGAAATGATAAAGGTACCTTACTATATGATCAGACATTAAGGAAACATGCTATGTTGAAGTGCTGGCTTCTCTGACAACAATGCAGCAGCCAGTATGTCCTCCTTCTAACTTTAGATTCTGGTCCTGAATGATCTGGATTTGTTTGGACCAGAGAAGGTAGGCGGTTTTAAGGCGACCCCCACACGGCCGTTTTGGATGCCCCTCGGTTTGCCAGATATGAGAGCAGTTATCAGGAGAGAACTGGTTCAGATAGAAGTGATTGTACCCGACCTAAAAAGCCTCTGCATGTTTCTAATAAGCTCCACGAGCAGAAACGTGCTCAAACTAGGATCAATATTGGAGATGCTTTTGAAAAATGGAGAGAGGTTAGAACACAGAAAGGTTTACAGACTGATGCAGAGCTGGATAAACACTGAAGCTTCAGTGTCCACCACATGACAACCTGCATGAGCATCGACTATAGAGAGGAGGGGGCCATTTTAAACACTAGGGGGTCAGAGTTACATACTGCTCCTTTAAGTTTATTTCCAGTTGACTTTTCTAATGTAATTTATCAACAAACGAGGAGAAAGCAGCTTTCTGTCCCCTCTACCTGAAGTCCTAACTGAGTGATTGACAAACAGGAAGTGACACTCACCTGTCACACAGCACGGCCACATGCTGAGCATCCGGTGAGCTGCTGATGCGGCACACAGTGGGCTTCTGGGAAATAAAACAGAAACAGACAGGAGGAGTCTCAGAGAAGCTTCTCACGCTTGTTTGTGTAAAATAAAGGACTTAGACATCCCTTCCTCTCGGCTCTGGATCCGGGGATCCGTGTGTGTGACCTATTTCACCCCCGCTCTGACACAGCTCAGCAGAGAAACACAAAGACGAGGCTCCGCCTGACAGGACAGAGAAGCTGAAGCTGTGCCAGCTGCTCAGTGGACCTCTGAGTTCAATAAGACACGTTCGTTTGTTATCATTTAGCCATTAAAGCAACAATGTGCAGGAATTCAGTGTGGCGGCCATCGAAGGTCAACGAGTTCAACGGCACCGTCATAAAACACGCCGCCGGTAAAGCTGCCAAACATGAGACAATGATGACACTGATAAGGACACAGGATAACGCTACGTCTCAATCTGTTCTGAATAATATCTGCAGGGATGAACACTCTGCTTCTCACTCGCTCACTCTCTCTCTTCTAATCTTCCTCCGCCCTCTTCCTCTCAGCCGTTGTATCAAACAGAACAGAGACGAGCTAACTGGCTGCCTCGTAGCTGAAGGCTGCTTTGTGAAAGAGCGCCGAGAAGACGTTTGGACGATGTAGAGAGATGTTTCGACATCATACATGAAACATGGATCTATTGACCTGCTACACAAACAGTCACAAACATCTCTACCGTTCCTCCTCCGGGTGTTGTCGCTCAATCGACTGTCATGGCGTCCCATACTACAGCA